AGCGGCTGCCTTCGGCTCAGGTCATGATCTCAGGGTCCTGGGATCGAGTCCCACATCGGGCTCCTTGCTCGGCAGGGAGCCTGCTTCTCCCTCTGCCTCTGCCTCTGCCTGCCTCTCTGTCTGCCTGTGCTCGCTCGCTCTCTCTCCCTCTGTCCCTGACAAAGAAATAAAATCTAAAAAAAAAAAAAAAAAAAAGTGTAAATTAAAAAAAAAAAAAATTTTTTTTCAACCATTTAAAAACACCAAACCATTCCGGACCTGTGAGCCATATGAAAATAGACAGCTGGTGAGATGTATTGCCCCCTGGAATAAAGGACAAAAACCACATGATCATCTCAGTGTGATTGGTGGCCTCTAAAATGACCCCTAAGTAACCCCTGCCTCCTAGTACTCACACCCTTGTGTAATCTTTTTCCCTTGAAGTGGACTGGACTTAGTGACTCATTTCTAACAATAGAATACTGCAAAAGAGATTGGATGTCACACTGAAGATTAGGTTACCAAGAGACTGTGATTCTGTCTTGCTCTGCTTTCCCTCAGGGCTCTGGCTCGGGCCGGGGGTGGGGTGGGGGGGTGGGGGGCGGTAGCTGCCCTGTTGGGAGTAACTCTGTGGAGAGGTCCACGTGGCAAGGAACTGAGGTCTGGCCAGCAGCCAGCAAGAACCTGGAACCTACCAAAAACCAAGTGAGCGAGCTTGGAATTGGATCTTCTGAGGTCTGCCAACAGGAACCTAAATAAGCTTGGAAGGGAGTTCGTACCCATTTAACCTTTGAGATGAATGCAGCTATGACCAGTACCTTGATTACAGCCTTGTGAAGAATCCTGAGTCAGGCACCCTGCTAAAGTTGCCTGTGCCTGTATTGCTGTCCCACAAAAACTGTGCGATAGTAAATGTTTATTGTTATAAGCTGCTCAGTTTTGGGGTAATTTGTTGAGTAATAGTAGATCATCAGATACAGAAAAAACACGTGACAAAATCTAACACGCATTCATAATAAAACAGATCCTCAACAAACTAGAAATAGAAAGGAGTTCACTCAATCTGATCAAAAAGCATCTATGAAAAACCTACTGCTGGGGCGCCTGGGTGGCTCAGTGGGTTAAGCCTCTTCCTTTGGCTCATGTCATGATCTAAACTAAATTTTTTTTTATCTGGTTTTTATAATTGTTCTGATACCACCTAAGCTGTCATAGCCAGAAGCAGAAATCTAGATGCATCATTTAAAAATGTGAAACATATGGGGCGCCTGGGTAGCACAGTGGGTTAAGCCTCTGCCTTCGGCTCAGGTCATGATCTCAGGGTCCTGGGATCGAGCCCCACATCAGGCTATCTGCTCAGCAGGGAGCCTGCTTCCCCCCTCTCTCTGCCTGTCTCTCTGCCTACTTGTGATCTCTCTGTCTCTGTCAAATAAATAAATAAAAATCTTTTTAAAAATTAAAAAAAAAAAAAAAACCCTACTGCTAACATCATACTTACAGACGAAAGACTGAATCCTTACCCTAGGATCAGGAGCAAGGTGAGGATGTTAAATGTCACCATTTCTGTCAACATTCTGTTGGAGAGTCTAGCCAAATGAAATAAGCCAAAAAAGAAAAAAAAGGCATACCAACATGAAAGAAGTAAAACTGTCTATATTCTCAGATGACATAATTCTATAAGAAGTATCTGAAAATGACAGAACATTACTGAAGGAAATTAGACATGTATTAAGAGTGTTGGGACCCCTGGGTGGCTTAGTTGGTTGGACGACTGCCTTCGGCTCAGGTCATGATCCCGGAGTCCCGGGATCGAGTCCCGCATCGGGCTCCCAGCTCCATGGGGAGTCTGCTTCTCCCTCTGACCTTCTCCTTGCTCATGCTCTCTCTCACTGTCTCTCTCTCTCAAATAAATAAATAAATAAATAAATAAATAAATAAATAAATATTAAAAAAAAAAAAAAAGAGTGTATAGGGGCGCCTGGGTGGCTCAGTGGGTTAAGCAAGCCTCTGCCTTCAAGTCAGGTCATGATCTCAGGGTCCTGGGATCGAGCCCCGCATCAGGCTCTCTGCTCAGCAGGGAGCCTGTTTCCCCCGCCTCTCTCTCTCTGCCTACTTGTGATCTCTGTCAAATAAATACATAAAATCTTTAAAAAAAAAAAGTATAGAGAACCCTTATGATCAATAAGATAATCAAGTTAAAAATTGAACTAAACATGGGGCACCTGGGTGGCTCAGTTGGTTAAGCATCTCTCTTTAGCTCAGGTCATGGGCCCTGGGAATGAGTCCTGCATCACATCAGGCTCCCTGCTCAGCGGAAAGCCTGCTTCTCCCTCTCCTACTCCCCCTGCTTGTGTTCCCTCTCCTGCTGTGTCTCTGTCAAATAAATAAAATCTTTTTTTAAAAGAAACTGGGAGCTAAACACTTAGACATTTCACCAAGGAAAGAGATGAATGGCTAATAAGTACAAGTAAGAGTGTTCATTTTAGAATTGCAGAATAAAATCACAGTAGGATTACAATCCATACCCACTAACATGGCTATAATGAAAAAGTGCAAATGTTAGCAAGGATGTAGAGAAACTGAGACCTTCATGCATGCTGGTGGGAATGTAAAAGAGCATAGCCACTTTGGAAAACCGTTTGGTAATTTCTTAAAAAGTCAAACATAAACACAGTGTAGGAGCTGGCAGTGCTAATCCTAGGCATACACCCAGAAGAAATGGGAACATAGGTCTACACAAAGACCTAAGACACATATCAGCCAAATAGAATGTATGGCTGCTGTTTGGATCCTGTTTGAACAAATCAACTTGACGAAGGCATTTATAAGACAGGGAAACTTTAACACAGATGGGTTATCAGATATTAAGGAATTAAAATCTTTATCTATTAGAAATATATCCTGAAGTAATTATAGGTGAGATAATATGTGTGGGTTTGCTTTCAAATACTGGAACAGGGTGCCTGGGTGGCTCAGAGGGTTGGGCCTCTGCCTTTGGCTCTGGTCGTGATCTCAGGGTCCTGGGATTGAGCCCTGCGTCGGGCTCTCTGCTCAGTGGGGTGCCTGCTTCCCCCTCTCTCTCTGTCTGCCTCTCTGCCTACTTGGGATCTCTCTCTGTCAAATAAATAAATAAAATCTTAAAAAATAAATAAAATAAAATACTGGAACAGGGACGCCTGGTGGGTCATTTGGTTAAGCATCTGCCCTTGGCTATGGTCATGATCCCAGGGTTCTGGGATCGAGTCCCACATTGGGCTCCTTGTTCAGCAGGGAGCCTGTTTCTCCCTCTGCCTGCTGCTCCCCCTGCTTGTGCTCTCTCTCTCTCTCTGACAAATAAATAAAATCTTTAAAATAAATAAATACTGGAACAAAAAGCAGAGGAAAATAGATGAAGTAGAAATAGTCAAATACTAATAAATGCCAAAGCTCAGTGATGGTACAGATATATTTTCTATTTCTCACTCTTGTGTATATTTGAAATTTTCCATCATAATGAAGTTAAAAAAATTAAATGAGAACTTGACCATTGTGGAGAAAGAGCCTTTATGGGTGTCTGAGTGGCTCAGGGGGTTTAAGTGTCTGCCCTCAGCTCAGGTCGTGATTTCAGGGTCCTGGAACCGAGCTGCCCCCTGCCCCCTGCTCAGCGGAGAGTCTGCTTCTCCCTCTTCCTCTTCATCTGCTCCCAACTTAATCTCTCTCTCTCTCTGAAATAAATAAAATCTTTATAAAAAGAGCCTTTAAGAGACACCTGGGTGGCTCAATTGGTTAAGTGGCTGCCTTCAGCTCAGGTCATGATCCCAGGGTTCTGAGATCGAGTCACGAATAGGGCTCCTTTCTCAGTGGGGAGCCTGCTTCTCTCTCTGCCTCTGCCTGCTTGTGCTTGCTCTCTCTCTTTGACAAATAAATAAATGAATCTTTAAAAAAAAAAAAAAAAGCCTTTAAGAAATTCATAAAGCGGTACCTGGCTGGTCAGTTGGTGAAGCATGTGGCTCTTGATTTCGGAATCAGGAGTTTAAGCCCCACATTGGGGATAGAGATTAATTTTTTTTTAAGATTTTATTTATTCATTTGACAGACACACAGTGAGAGAGGGAACACAAGCAGGGGGAGTGGGAGGGGGAGAAGCAGGCTTCCCGCTGAGCAGGGAGCCTGATGCAGGGCCCAATCCCAGGACCCTGGGATCATGACCTAAGCTGAAGGCAGACACTTAATGACTGAGCCACCCAGATTACGACTGAGTGCCCCAAGATTACTATTTAAAAAAAAAAAAAAAAAGGGGGCACCTGGCAGGCGTTGTTGGTTAATTGGTCACCTCTTGATTTCAGCTCAGGTCATGATCTCAAGGTCCTGGGTAGATCCCCATGTTGGGCTCTGCGCTTGCCGAGTCTGCTTAAGGATTCTCTCTCTCCCTCTCCTTGTGCCCCTCTCCTTACTCACACTTGCTCACTTGCTCTCTCAAAAATAAATTTAAATAAATCTTTTTTTTAAAAAGTCCTAAGGACAAGTAGGTAGTGCTATTACATAAACTAACTTGTTCAAGCCTGATACCAGTCCATCTTCAATGTACCTTGCAAAAATCCAACCATTTCATTACTGCCATGCAAAAGGTTATCTTGAGTAGAGATTTAAATGAAAGAGCAGAGACAGTTTTCAGTCTTCATGTTGCACCACTTGCTAGCAAGTTCTAAGCTAGCTTTCTGGTATTTCTGTATTTGCAAAATGCATAGAGGTCTCCTGTGAGCACATAGGTAGTTTGCTGTTAAACATTTCCAAACGAGAACGAAGCATCATCATCCCCTCGTGCTAGTTCTCATACACAGCACAGCCTTTCTTCTTTGTGAATGGCACCTGCCTCTTCCTCAGCGTGAAAGATCCCAGGATTTGTAACTGCTTTTATTTGGGGTATGGAAATTTTACTGTTCTTATGTATACACATGTGTTTAATGAGAATCGTATATGATTTACAAAGATGTGTCCCTGTTTGTTTATTCATTATTTTCTCCTTTTTCCATTTTTTTCAGTACATGTACTAGCCTTAGCAAGTTCTGTTCCAAACTCAGGCACCTTGACTTGGCTTCCTGTACATCAATCACAAACATGTCTCTTAAAGCTCTGAGGTAAATGTCTTATAACAAGAGTATCCAATAATCGGAACAAATACTGAGTTTTTAAAAAATTTCAAATAACTGAAATAAAGTTAGAATCGAAGGAAACTGTTTTATGGATATGTACTATAGTTCAGAATAGATCAGTTGCCCAAATTACAGGACACATTCAGGTGAAATGCCTAGGGATAACTAGGATTTCTGAACAGACTGGTATAGCGTATATGCGAATAATTAGATTTCTCTGAAGGCTTGGTTGCCCCCACTTGGTTGTCCCACTGAAACCGCCACATATCATAGCTTAGTGATCAAAGCAGCGCTCTGGAGTCAGGTGATTGATTAGCCAGGTACCTTGGACAAATATAACCCTTATGAGCTTTTCCTTGTCATCTCATAGTTCTGTTCTTAGGATTAGGATTAAACAGTATTATCACTGTTTGATAATATTAGGCCAAACCATACAAAGTTGGCAGTATTTAACAGCTTTTATGGTATAAAGATGACAACTTCATTGGTTCAACCTAATGTATATAAAGTACTTAGGAGAGTTTCTGGCATATTAAGTAAGCACTCAGTACGTTTTGTTTTAATATTAACCTATTTTCTAAAAACATATCACAGAAGGTATACCTTAAAAGGAGGGTGAAATGCCCATTCTCTTTGTATCTTTACTTTTTTATCAGTCTTTTACAGGTAATTATGGTCCCATGTATTGGTTATGTTCATAAATAGTAAAAATTAAGCTATTAAAAGAAGAAATGCAGATTTAGTTGAGTATAAGTAATCTAAAAATGGCTTCTAGACCTTCCTTATGAATACTGAGTACATATGTATCTAAGGTCATTTGCCAGGTGAGATAATAAATAGGATAAGATAACAGCATTTATGGTTTATAAAATATTTTCACATAAATGATTTCATTTATTTGAAAACCATCTGAGGCAGATAGGACAGACACTTATAGATAAGAAAATCCAAAACATTTTTGAATGTGATTCAACCTCACTAAACAAGGTATTGTTGTTGCTGCCCTGTAGCGGCATAGTGCGGTGTGATCAGTGCTATTACAGAAGTGAGTGCTTCCATTTGGGAAGAGCATAGGCTATGGCTGATCTTGGATTAAGAGAAGTTCAGTCAGGTTTCCTAAAGTGACTTGTCTGAAGTCACACTGTTAATGTTGAAGAATGGACTTGAACCAAGATCCCCTGCCTTCATTTTATAAAACAATTAGAGCAACATTTTCCAAAGAATATCATAGAGCTTGGGATTCTTGCATAGTTCAAATGTGAAATCAAAGATAAAATGGATATTTGATAGAAGGCAGAGATCAAACATAGTATAGCCTAATTTTAGCCTGTGGAGACTGTACTGAGGAGACTTCACAGATAAGGAAAATGTATAGATCCTTTGTAATTTTTTAAATAAGAATTTAAACCTCTTCATTATTACTTTGATAAGTAAAAGAATTATTTGGTAAAGAATCTGAATCTAAACCCTTCACTAATTACTCTGTTAACTTGAACAGGTCACTTAGTTTCCATTTCCATTTCAGAGACCTTTTAAACATGTGATAAGTGCAAAAAGAATATATTTGAAAAGCATAAACCTCCATAACAGTCTAATATATCTGAAAAACAGTACTGTGCTTTGTGCTTATTAGTTTATCTGGATTTGAGATAGCTCTCCTCAGGATACAGTCCCACATGAATGAACTCAACCAACATTGATAACTAGGCTTTGTTTTTGTTGTGAGATTGCCTGTATTCTAAATCTATGTTAAGTAAATAAGTGTATTCTTGTGGGAAAGCATGGGGCTGTAGCCATTCCCTGACTAAATAGCCAATAAAATGAGACTTTGATGCCTTTGGAATTGGATTTAGTCATATATTTGTTTCATTTTGTTTTGTCCTAAGTGAGGGATGTCCACTGTTGGAGCAATTAAACATTTCCTGGTGTGACCAAGTAACCAAGGATGGCATCCAAGCACTAGTGAGAGGCTGTGGGGGTCTCAAGGCCTTATTCTTAAAAGGCTGCACACAGGTAATACTCCATGTAGTGCTTGTGAATTTTAGAAGAACCGTGAACTTTGTAGGCAGCCCAAAGATGTTGGCTGGAGGAATATGTAGTTGTATATTAATGACCAAGGATACATGCTTACCAAAAATTAAAGTGTCTTCCTTAGAGTTAAAAAATACATATATATGAAAAGAATTAACATCTGACCAAAGATAAAATTTTTGAGGGGAGGCAAGATGGGGAGAGAAGATCACACTGAGCATGCACCATAGGCAGGAAGCATCTTACACAATTTAATCTGAGAAGAAAACTTGCCATGTCGTCACTGCCTGAGACCTTGAACTGGAGAGGCAAGGAAGGCAGTCTTAGTTAGCAGTTTTCACTAGTTGTTTAACTACCAGGTTAAATGTGCCAAGTATACAGAACCTACATTTTATAGTGTTGGTGTTTACTTCCTGCGAGTCACATTACAAATCCCAACATATTTTGCTATTAAAAATTTTACTATCTTTGTATTTTACGGTGATTAAAAAGAAAAAAAGAATTGACATGGCAGTGTCTCGAAGGAAATAATCAGAAGTGAGTTTAGAAGTGACTGACAAAGTAGGGCTAAGCTCTTATGACATTCTTTTATTAATGGTTACTGAAACCATGCCTTGGCTTCTGTTAAAAGTGCCCTTATTCCTTCACTGTGATGGGAGGAGTTCCATTGTTTGAAACAGAGCTTTGGAAGTAAGACTGCCTTAAAACAACAGCTTGAGCTTCTGGTTATTTATAGAATCCTGAAAAATATTGATTGGAATGCACCATTATAATCAATTACTTGCCATCTGTTCTCAGCACTGTACGCGTGGCACTCATCTTCCAGCAGCAGATAAACCGGATTCCTTTCTCAGCTTCTGCTCCCAAAAGTTTGTTTTTAAAAAAAAACTTTTTATATAGGAAGTACAGAAGTGTGAAAATTATTTTAGCTTCGTAATCCCTGAGCAAAATGCTGTGAGGCATACTTAATTTATCAGAAGAGAAATCCATAAACATTAAGCAGTGTTTATTTTATCTTTTCCTTGATTTGGTGATCATGTGAATTTGACGTGGTTGGAACTGATGAAAAATACTGATAACCATACTAATGACATGAATTATGCCTTTATTTGATCATGGGTCATTGTTTCTGGTTCATTGTTCCTTTGAAGCTTGGTTGGCTTTATTTAGCATGTGTTGACGAAATGTGTATACTCCTATATCTTTATCTCTTGAAACAGTGTTAGTAATCTTTTTTTTTCTGTCTTTTTAATTTTTCTAGCTAGAAGATGAAGCTCTGAAGTACATAGGTGCACACTGTCCTGAACTGGTAACCTTGAACTTGCAGACTTGCTTAGTAAGCCGTCCCTCCCACAATTCTTTTGTATTAGTAGTTCATTGCAGTAATATTATTGTACAAGCTTCCATCATCAAGACCAGTGGTTTTTCCACCTCAGCCCTGGGGACACAGGAGACACACAGATACGATTCTTGGCATGTTTAAGGACACTCACTCCTAAGGGTTTTGACATAGATAATATAGAATATATTGCCCATGCAGATTTCCAAATAAGCTAACTAGAACTCCACCCCTTTTCTACTTTTAGAAGTGAATTATTCACAGACTTTAGTACTTAGAATATTTTTTTGGTTAATTAATTGCAGTTATGCCAATGAAGATCTATCAGTGAGTCATAACTATTGGGAACCACTGATCTAAACAGATGACAAGCAAAATGTACTCAAGTATTTCCAAGTGGTATTGTAATTCACATTCAGCTTTTTTAGACTGTCACCTCTTTTGTGTGTATCCCCAAACCCCTGCATTTTGCTCAATTTGCTGGAACTATTCAGGGTCCTAGAACATCAACAATACACTTTTATCTTTTCTCTCTTGCCTTGAAAATTACAAATATGTGTTGCCTTGGAGTGAAAGCCTCTCATGGCAAGTGAAAAGACTTGATGAGGGTTTGCCTTGTTTTTGCTAAAACTTCTGCTCATTATCCCCTCCTGTTCTTGTATAATCACCTGAAACTTGAGACTGTAGTGGTTGTTGAAAGGTGACACATATAGGGCCATGTTTTGTGCAATTGAAGCAACCCCCCTTCCAGCCCTTAAGGGATGGTGCTGATAATGATCTGCTTAGGAGGCTCCTAAAGACTGAGTTAAAGGAATGATACGCCTTTTAAGTCTGATCACCGCTTCCTTTTAATTCTGATTGCCATAGTTGCTAACTCTCAGAATTTGCCTGATTTCATTTATGAAACTGAAATATCTGACCTGACAGGAAGAGCTTACACAACTGCTATAAGCATGAAATCATCATCTTACAGTGACAGGAAAAAAAAACTGTTCTCTGGCATCTTTGGATCTTACGTATGTGTATATACACACAGATATGCTCTGTATGTATTTGTGTGGATATATGTTACGTACACATATATACCATACCTACTGTTTGCTGTTTTAGTTTCATTTCCTTGGCCTTTCCAGCAGACAGAAACCCCAGCGGGTAAGCACAAAGAACCAGCTCTATCATCTGTTTATTTTACTCTTTCCTTTCACCCAGATCTTAAGGCATAAGTCATTCCTTCTGTAGGATGTGATGCAATGATTCTCATTCCTAAGACTTCACGTTTCTGACCAAAACTCTTGACGTGACCAAAGTACATTCTCATTCCATTCTTTTTCTTGACTAAGTTGAAAACATAGAAGTTCAGTAAATTTTACTATTTTTAAAATTTGAAGAATTGTTATATATGACTTTTCTCATCTTTCTTCCTCAGTAATCCCTTAAAGACTTGAAAACATTAAGAAGCAAAAGGCAGGGGCACCTGGGTGGCTCAGTCGGTTAAGCATTTGCCTTCAGCTCAGGTCGTGATCCAGGGTCCTGGGATCAAGCCCCACATTGGGCTCCCTGCTCAGTGGGGAGCCTGCTTCTCCCTCTGCCTGCCACTCCCTCTGCTTGTGTCTCCTCTTTCGCTGTCTCTCTGTGTGTCAAATAAAGAAATAAAATCTTTAAAAAAAGGGGGGGGCGGTAAGGAAAAGGCAGCACAGTCCTACAACTTACTTTCCTGATCTTATGTGACACAAATTCTCATTGACCTGGTACATATGCATGTTCATTGATTGCTGCTTCCCCTTTACATTTCAATTATCCTCATTTAGTTATAACTATACATCACACTTGCATGTCACCTTTTTAGTTACTTCCACATGTGTTGATCCTCATTAATTTATCCTCACAATACATCTTGTATCTGCCTTAGCATCCACTTCTTTATCTGTATCTTGCTTTAGTTATACAATATTGAGAATATACTGATTTAAGCAGTGAATATTTTTTTTTTTAAGCAGTGAATATTTAAAGCTCGATATTTTTTTTTCTAATTGTCCTGGCAACCTAAGGACACTGATTGAACAGAGATGATAGGGAGCTTTATTCTGAGGCTTACACAAAATTTTTGAATCTAGCAGGACAAATTGAATTGCTAATCACATCCAACATGTTAAGATGTTTATACATGGCTTTTTTTTTTTTAGCGTAACATTTTGGTGTGTCCTTTTCAAATTTTAGAATAATTTAAAACATATAAAATTATGTTTGAGTTGGATACAGCTGTTTATCTCCATAAATTTTTTTTTTTACACTATTACAATTAAAATAAAGAACTAAATGGGGAAAAAAAAGAAAGAAATAGATCTGTGGTTGATATGAAGTTGAAACTGTCATCCACAGGTTGTTTTAGTTTTTCATTAACTTAATGTCGGTGTCAATTTTGAACTTGCAAATAAGTTTATACTGCCATTCTTATCTATTTTCTGGGTTTTAAAATAATTTAATTGAATCTAACCCATGATGCACCTCATACTGTTTGCAGTCCCATTACATTAAAAGAATCCCATTATAGCTTCTTCCGTCTACACCAGAAATGAGCACAGAGGTGCCTGGCTCAGTCATGTGATTCTGATCTCAGTGTCGTGAGTTCAAGCCCGATGTTGGGTATTGAGCCTACTTAAATGAAAAAAAAAAGAAAGAAATGAGCACATTAAATCAAAAGGAACTGAAAAGGAGAAACAAAGTGTGTTCATTTTCTTTTAGGTTTGCTACCTGATTAATATTAAATTGGTTTATTTCTTTTTGGTGCTTATTTTCAGAGGTAACGTTTTTTCCTTCTTTTTTTCTGCTGAGTTACTAATACCTATGGGGGGGTTTGCTTTTATTTTTTAGCAAATCACAGATGAAGGTCTCATTACTATATGCAGAGGGTGCCATAAGTTACAGTCCCTCTGTGCCTCCGGCTGCTCCAACATCACAGATGCCATCCTGAATGCTCTAGGTCAGAACTGCCCACGGCTTAGGTAAACATTTCTTGTTTAGCTCAAAAAATCAGGGGAAAGGAACAAAGGCCTTCTTCACACAAATTTATTGCTCGGAACTTTGAGATTTTTAAGGTAGACACTACAAGGTTACTACCTTTTAGGTGCTAACTGCTTGCTTTTTACCTCACTTGATTATGTGTATAATTGGCTTAAACCAAGGGGTAATGTCCCCCGTTTCCTACTTCTTGCTATCCATACTAGGAAAAAAAAATTCACATTTTATTTCTACTTGAGAAATGAAGTAAAGGCATTTTCTCTTATTAATACTTCATATAATTCCTTTCGGAAGAAAGTTTTTAAAGGCCTACCCTGTGGTTATTTACCTTGTGGTAATGATGCCAGCTACTTAGCATTAAGTATTTAAAAAAAAAAAAAAAAAAAAACAGCCCTGCAGGAATACTTCCTTTGTGTTCATGGTCTTTTAGAGAAAGCCTGATTTCTCTGTGGTTCCTCCTCTTTGCCTAAAGAAGCATTGGCTGAATATTTACTAAGAATGCAGTGTTAGCATGCACATGCTTTCAAAACCATATTGGTTCTGTAAAAGCACACAGCATGCTGTTTTGTAATAAATAAGGATGATCCCCATATGCCTTTTTTGTTCTTAAAACAACTTTATTGTACTTATATGCTAGATATGTTAACCCTTGTTTTAAGTGATTTGCAAATATTAATTCATTCAATCCCCATAATAGCATATAAGCACTGTTATTATCTCCATATTACAGGTGAGAAAACTGAAGCACAGAGAGAGGTCAGGTAACCTGTTCAAGGTCTCACAGCTAGTGAGTTCAGGTGCAAGGGTTCAAACTCAGGCAGTCTGGTCCAGAACCCAGGAAACCACATATAATAATCACTATAAACCCATATAACTTTATTAAAGCTTTTTGTTATCACCTGGCCAGAGGCCTAACCATAATTGTTAAAAGAAAAGTTGCCTAGATTATCAGAATTCCTTGATATATCATAGACTTGGTCAAAATTAATACTATCAGAGGCCTGGGGCTAAGGAGGCAGCAAGACTCCTCCCTAAAAATATTACACATGACCTTTTTCTCTTTTAAAGCAAGGAGTGTTCAGCTTCTTACTCCTTCACGGTTTATTTTATTGTTCGGACAGAAAGGCTCTCAAATATCAGAATCAAAAGTTAGATTCAGTCAGATCCTGCTTTCCCCTTAGATGTTCATTTCTCATTGCTAGTTGATAATGATTTCTTCTATTATAGCTTTGTTTGTTTCAACTCATGTAGTAAGTAATTCGTAAGCAAACATGAAGATATGTTATTTGGTACTATCATGCAGACACCACCAGACTCTTCACAGAAAAGAGCTACTTTTGATTCCCAGGTCCCGTGGTTAGTATTTCTGTTGGTGTTCAGCAGTTCCTGAGTAGGAGACTGGCTGCCAGCTCAGCCCCCCTCTGCGCTGGGCCTCCCTGGGAGCCTGTGGGAAGAGGCAGGAAGCTTAAGGGCATTTTTTTCATAAGTGTGGAATTTCATACATGGGACAGGCCTGTAATTAACCAGTCCCTTCATAGTATTTTTAAAAGCTATTTAAATTTGAGTGAACCTACATGTAAAATGGGGAAAGAGAATAATTTACTTGAGCAACAGATTAATTGAAGCAGAGTATTTATCTCCATTTCCTTTGTTTTCTAGGAGCAGGCTGCCCTCTGGGGGTAAGCAGTATGCCATCAAGAAGGCTTTTAAATGCATTTTGGCATTAACTACAAGCTTCTATTATATTCTTCTGATTGCATCACCCTGAAATGTGGTATTTACAGGACCACTTTATGATGACTCCATGAAAATGAATGGCAAGATCTGTATACAGACTTGCTTAGCTGTTAATATCACTCTATCATGCAGTGTTTAGGGAATAGGAGGTTGTTTTCTTAAATTCTTGCTGTTTCAATAAACCCAGTTTTCAGAAAACAAGGGCTTGACTTTCACTTTGTTTTTGTTTTGTTTTGTTTTTTCAACAGAATATTAGAAGTGGCGAGGTGTTCTCAATTAACAGATGTAGGCTTTACCACTCTGGCCAGGGTAAGTTATTTTCTCCAGGTTCTTTACAAAATAATTTTTTTTTTAATTTCACAAGAGTGAGCAACAAGGGAAACGTGGAATGGCAGCAAAGTGGAGGAGGGTGTGGAGTGTGAGGGCACTTCTCTGGCTGGTGTGCCTGAGCCTTCTCGTGCTGCAGCCACAGGCCTAAAGAACGTGAACTGCTCTGGAAATACAGATGTGTCTTGGAGACCATGATGTTCCTTCTTGAGACTTGATTTGCCACTTTTTCATTAGATGGTAAACTAGGCAGGGCCTTCCTAGTGCTTCGTGGAAAAGCTTTCTTGGTTATTTGGTATGTGACTAGTGGGTGAGAGTAACATTGAAAGAAACATATAGACCTACTTTTAAATGGAGATGGTTTAAGAGATTTTATTGTGTTCTTCAGAATAAATACTTGGAATAGTTTTATAAATCACTGTATAATAATAGTATTCAAAATTATACTGTCTTTAGCATATATGGACTCTGGGGAGGGACATTTGCTTTCAGGCAGACTGATAGAAGACTAATGGGTAGGGGGCAGCACGTGGCATAACTCAGTGAGGACACACAATTTACCTTCCATTCTTTCAAAGAGATAATTTTCATTATTTATGGTTGGAAGGATTCTGTATTAGCTTGGTATTAATGTGCAGAAAATTTATTCCCTTGGACTTAAAAGATATTAGATACGTAATTGAGAAATTTCCAATGTGATCAAGGCCTTTTAAAATGTGTGATTAATAAAGGCAGAAAGTGACATTAGAATGACACCAGCTCTGAAACTTAAGATTTTGTCCATGTATTTAATACTGCTTCTTAGTGTTCTGGCTTTAAATTTTCCCATGTTTTAAATCTTGGTGCTATAATGTTTGGTTTTGTATTCTGTAGAATTGCCATGAGCTTGAAAAAATGGACCTGGAAGAGTGTGTTCAGGTAAGAGTGTAGATTTCTACTCCGAAATACATTATCGGGGCAGCTGGGTGGCTCAGTGGGTTAAGCCTCTGCCTTTCCCTCAAGTCATGATCTCAGGATCCTGGAATGGAGCCCTGCATCGGGCTCTCTGCTCAGCAGGGAGCCTGCTTCCCCCTCTCTCTCTGCCAGCCTCTCTGCCTACTTGTGATCTCTCTCTTTCTGTCATAAGTAAATAAAATCTTAAAAAAAAAAAATACATTGGGGTGCTTGGCTGGCTCAGTGGATTAAGCCTCTACCTTCGGCTCAGGTCATGATCTCAGGGTCCTGGGATTGAGCCCCGCATCGGGCTTTCTGCTCAGTGGAAGGCCTGCTTCCCCCTTTCTGTCTCTCTGCCTGCCTCTCTGCCTGCTTGTGATCTCTGTCACATAAATAAATAAAATCATAAAAAAAAAAGTTTAAAAATAATACATTATCATAGGGGCGCCTGGGTGGCTCAGTTGGTTAGGAGTCTCTTTGTTTCGGCTTGCGGACTCTGGGGTTCAAGCTCAATGAGGAGTCTGCTTGAGATTCTCTCCCTCACCTGCCCCCCTCTACCTATCTCCCCCTAAAATAAACAAATTCTTAAAAAAAGAGAGAGATACAGTATGATAGAGACTGGCAAAAAAGAAAAAAAAAACTTACATAATACATACACATCGAAACATTCAGTTCCCTGTCCCAATGTAGTGTAGTGCCTGGTGGCAGTACTGATTCTTCATTTATTGAGGTGTCCTCCAGGTATCCAGGCAGAAGTACTCGTGGCATGCATGGTAAGGAACTAGGAAAATATATGCCATCAGTAAGGTTGCCAGTGGAAAGAAAGTAGGTCCAAGCATTCAGGTTATAAAGATGTTAAAGTGTTTCCTAAGACATACAGGGTTATAACAGTAGTAAATAATTAAAGCCCCATCACATGAACAGTATAGCACTGCCCCCACCCTTTTTTTAGTTCAGTGAGACTCTGGACCCCTTATAATATTAGCCCTGGAGATCCAACTCTGCCCTTTGGGCAGACAGACCAAATATTGCCTTAGCAACTGTTTCTTTTATTACCAATTATAAGAGCTTTAAGATTACTAGTTGATCAGAGAGAAATTTTTGAAGGGCGACTCCTAAAAAGGAGATAGATTAGTAAATCTTTTTAATGGTAACAATAAAGATACTTCCAGTAACTGCAGAGGTCAGTTTTTTCTAAATTACTTGTTATCCAGACACTCCTTAGCAACTGTTCTTACTAAACTAGAACTTGGTCACATCCATCCATCTCTCGCACATGCTTGAGTGTGCAGCGCATCCTCTTCAGTGTTACTCCTTCTCAGTGATGTGCACACACCTTCTCTCCCCAGCCTTCCATCCCCCACCATTTCTTAGCCCCTGTGAAGTTGTGTGTTACGGTCATCATCATCATTTCAGAGTTGGAGGAACATTTGAAAAGAAGCACTGATTTACTTTCCAGCCTAAGATAACTCTAAAAGACTGTTCTTCCTTCAAGAGTTCCTCCTTCTTGAATGTTCATAGTTAACCCAGATTCCAGCAGCCCCTATTCTGTCGTCTTTGGGAAAATACCTGACACCCAGGTTATCAGAGCTCTATCATGGCTTATAAAATATAGGCAGATATACTTAATAATTTGAGGATATTTTCCCATTAAAAAAAATTTTTTTTTTAATGGAGCAGTGTCTCCTGATTCTTTTCTAAGGAGGTAAAACAAAGTCCAGTGGGTAGAAGTAACAAGGGGACAGATTTTCATTCATTTCAGAAACAAAAGAGAATTTTCAACAGACCTGTTCAAAGATGGAAGACTGCAGATGACTAGATGTGTTCAAGCCTGCCTAGATAGGTTCTCAAAGAACAGGTTCAAGTAGCTCAAGGGCTTTCAATCTTAAGATCTGTTATTTTATGATTAATATCAGGATATCAGTGTAGAATACAGTTATATTCAAGAATGAGGTATAGTCAAGAAGCTTTTTTGGAATTATACCTATAATAAACTTACGTGTTTCTTTCAGATAACAGATAGCACGTTAATCCAACTTTCTATACACTGTCCTCGACTTCAAGTATTGGTAAGTTTGACTTTTTAAAGTTTTATGTATTCACTGGGTGCCTCAGTGGGTTAAGCCTCTGCCTCCGGGTCAGGTTATGATCTCAGGGTCCTGGGATCGAGCCCCACATTGGGCTCTCTGCTCAGCCGGGAGCCTCCTCACCCCCACTCTCCTGCCTCTCTGCCTACTTGTGATCTCTGTCAAATAAACCAATTTTTTTTTTTAAGTATTTAAAAAAAAAAAAACTTGAGCCCCTCTTATCCCTATAGAAAAGTATAAATTTGTATGTGGGCTTGGATGTCATGATTTGTTCATGAACTATTTCGTAGTCCTTGCATAAATTCACACAGTATATTTAGAATCACACACAGAAGGACTTCTGGGTGGCTTAGTAGGTTAAGCGTCCAGCTCTCGATTTTAGCTCAGGTCATGTTTTTCAAGTTTTATGTAATCAAACCTACCTCATACTTCCTTCTTGGTGTCTGGCTACCATTTTGGGAAAACATATTTCTGCAAATTGCCAACTTACGGAGGACCAAGGGATTATTTATCAGTACTTGGAGATTGAAAAGTGACAAGGAGGGTATGACTTCTCCCTCCCACGTGAATTACACTTCAGCCTGAATAATGTTTAAATTTCAGCGATCCAGGGGCGCCTGGGTGGCTCAGTGGTTAAAGCCTCTGCCTTCGGCTCAGGTCATGATCTCAGGGTCCTGGGATCCAGTCCCATATCGGGCTCTCTGCTCAGCAGGGAGCCTGCCTCCTCCTGTCTCTCTCTGCCTGCCTCTCTGCCTACTTGTGATCTGTCTGTCAAATAAATTAAAAAAAAAAAAATCTTAAATTTCAGCAATCCAGGAGACAGGATAGCCCAAAATACAATTTGCTTCACCTTGAGACTAAATGGTCCTGTAAAACAGAACTAATCAAGGCTTTACTAGGGGTGTTGTCTGCTACTCTGCTTAATTATTTTGTGTCCAGGCTCATTTTTTGTATGTCTTTTATGGTATGTTACTAATTAGAATTGGAACAAGGGGGTTCAGAGTTTCACGTGGGGGAACCAGGGATTTAAGGAAAATTGATAAAGTAAAGGGATTTGTGTGAAGAGATGACCACACCTGATAGGTGTAGGAATCATCTTCAGTTAGTTAACTGTTTGGACATTCCCCTGTACCAGGTATTCAGTATTTAGTCCAAATTCCAGAAGGTTTTGTTCAAGAAAAACTTGAGGGGTGCCTGGGTGCCTCAGTGGGTTAAGCCTCTGCCTCCGGGTCAGGTCATGATCTCAGGGTCCTGGGATCGAGCCCCACATTGGGCTCTCTGCTCAGCCGGGAGCCTCCTCACCCCCACTCTCCTGCCTCTCTGCCTACTTGTGATCTCTGTCAAATAAACCAATTTTTTTTTAAGTATTTAAAAAAAAAAAACTTGAGCCCCTCTTATCCCTATAGAAAAGTATAAATTTGTATGTGGGCTTGGATATCATGATTTGTTCGTGAACTATTTCGTAGTCCTTGCATAAATTCACACAGTATATTTAGAATCACACACAGAAGGACTTCTGGGTGGCTTAGTAGGTTAAGCGTCCAGCTCTCGATTTTAGCTCAGGTCATGATCTCAGAGTTGTGAGATTGAGCCCCGCATCGGGCTCCACGCTGGACATGGAGCCTGCTTCAGATTCTCTCTCTCCCTCTCCCTCTGCTTCCTCCCTGAAAAAGAATCACACACAGAAATGTCAGTCACTGATAGTCAAAAGCAGAACCCCAGCAACTCTAGTTTGCTTTCTTACTTCACCGCGTAGATCTGGTGATGGCTCCATAGACATCACAATCCAACCCAGAAGGTTTCCTTTCTGCCTGTGTACAGGCTGGTGGCTAGAAAAATACCATGAGGTGTTCCAGTGTCCTTCCTTGCTCTATTTGGCTGCAGAGTCTGTCTCACTGTGAGCTGATCACAGACGATGGAATTCGTCACCTGGGGAATGGTGCCTGCGCCCATGACCAGCTGGAGGTGATTGAACTGGACAACTGCCCACTGATCACAGATGCTTCCCTGGAGCACTTGAAGAGTTGTCACAGCCTCGAGCGGATAGAACTCTATGACTGCCAGCAGATCACACGGGCTGGGATCAAGAGACTCAGGGTAAACACGGCCACACACTCTCCAGCTCTGATACTCTCGGCACCTTTCCTTCTTTCTTTTTTTCCCTCTTCCGTTTCCTTTTTGTTTGTTTGTATTTGTTTTTGTTTTAGATGTAGATTTCTATGACTTGGACATTCAGCAAAGAGAAAAAAAATGGAGAGCAAACCTAAGGGTAGATAGTTTTTACCTGTTGTTCCAAATGGAAATTTAGTGGGAAAATACCCACTGAGAGGAAGAAAGTAGGTCTTCTCCCAGCAGAGTCTCTCCCGTAATGTCCAGGGCTTAATAACATGCCCACAGTCAAAAACACATGCCAGATTCAGGAAAGAAAGAAATAACATAAAGAAAAATAGTTAAATGGGATTTAAGAATTTAATTTGTATTTCCTTTCACATCAGACCCTTTTGCTGGGATTCTTTTTTAAGACAACAAATGGATTAAGTAGGGTTTTTTGTTTGTTTTGGTGGGGTTTTGGGGGGTTTTTGTTTTTGTTTTTTTAATGCTTGCTTTTAGCCCCATCCTCCATACTAAAGAGACCCATGCATAGTGAAATGACTAGAAGACAGGTTGCCAGCAAGGAGGTTATAAAAGAATGAATGAATCTATATGTTAGGTTATTCAGCTCAACAGACATTTATTGGAACATCTGTTTCACACCTGCTGTGGGAAAGGCACTGTGCTTAGTTAGGCCCTTACAACCAGTGTCTGAAAACATCCATGTTGGCCATATGGCATCTGAGTACATAAAGGAGCACCAAACCTCATCTTGAGTTCCAGTGGTCTTAGTTCTTCCTCTCCCTTTGGACCTAGAGGACTGAGAGCATAACTGCTGTGGGAAAGCCTTGCAGCCATATTCCTTCTACACCAAAAGAGGAGAGCCGCAGGCCAATGAGAGCCTCTCCTATGGATGGCCTCCTTACAGAATCTCTTCCAACTCTGAGTCCTCAAGACTTTTTATCTGTTCTCAAATCATCACTTAGCACTTTTCCATTTTAATTTAGCTATTTATGTCTAGACTGTTAAGTTCCCTAAGAGCAGGACCTCTGTGTTGACCATCTTTGTACTCCCTTATGTAACTAGCACAGTGCCTTGAGTGTGCCAGGAACTCAGAAACTGTTTATGTAGTAAAAACAGTGTATTGTTAAAAGAGGATAATGGACTTTTTAAGAAAATATCAGAAGAAATGTTGTCCACAGTGATGTGGAAAAAATCATTTTAAGCTTGTACAGTTTCTTTCAATTTTGGGAATGCAACTAGCAGTCCCTTTGGGACAGATTAAGAGATTAGTATAAAGTCTTACCCCCAGTTTTATTATTAAAAAGCAGATACCAAAGTTAGGAGCTATTTAGTCATTTAGAACAACCTGGAATACTAGAAAGCAGAACCCAGGCCTCTCAACATCCTGACTGGTACTCAGCCTCTGCCTTGCTTTCATGTTCACTTACCTCCTTTGTTTTTTCTGAAAAGCAGTGTTGCTCTTTCTGTCAAAGCCCTCTCTCTTAGTAATGTTTCTGTCTTGTTTCAGACCCATTTGCCCAATATTAAAGTCCACGCCTACTTCGCACCTGTCACTCCACCCCCATCAGTAGGGGGCAGCAGACAGCGATTCTGCAGATGCTGCATCATCCTATGACAATGGAGGTGGTCAACCTTGGTGAACTGAGTATTTAATGACACTTCTAGAGTTACAATGGAGTCTCCAGTGGAAGCAACCCCAGTGTTCTGGGCAAGGGTTACAAAGTGAGGGCAGCGTCCAGATCCCCAGAGCCGCACATAACATGCATACCCACCCTCACCGCCACCCACTCTAGTTCTGTGACCAGGGGACTGAAGCCCATGCTGGCTTTATCAAGTGGATTGGTGAAACTTAACCATTCCTGTTGGACATGCCAAGAAGAAAATTATAGGCAAGGCGGAGGGAAGGGGGCATTCCAGCAAACCCAGTGTTACTGCTTCTGCAGTTTCTTCATTTTGTGAAGGGGTTTCTTTGGTGATTTTGGAACAGCAACTGCAGTCCTCCAGGGTCAAGGAAAGCATAGAAAAGCAATATATGTTGTATCCAGGGACCAGAAAGAAAATTTCTTTGCATCCTATAAATGGTAGTCATCCATCATGAGATGACTACAGAGCTTCTGTGCTTCCTCGTTCCCATGCCAACGTATGCTGAGCATGCTCACAAAGAAGGCTCATCCATTCCTCCTCCTGTTTTAAGTATTTGGCCCAGAGGTTTCCTAAGTGGTTGCACTGAAATCACTGTGGTCCAAATGTGATGACTTACTCACTCAGATTGTCGCTCTCTGTAGCACACTTGTGCACCTGTCTTTCGGTCTTTGTTGCTCCCTCCTGCACTCTTGCTCAGTCTGTCACCTGTTCATTGTCTGCTTACTCACACTCGATTGTTACTCTTTTGCTGTTGCTGTGTTTACAGTGTGCATTTTGGATGATTAGTTGGGGTTACCAAACATTTTTAAAGAGACATTATCAATAAATATTTTCTTAATTCTAAATTTTACCATTAGGGGACCCTGCCTGAATCTTTGCCAGCGTGAAGGGAAACTATCACAAAACCGAGATATGGTACGAGAAGAAATTGAGCTAAAACTGTTTTGATGAAAACAAACTTTGCCTTTTGGTTTCTGTTATACCTTGTGATATTATAATGATACGCATGATATGCCCAGTATTCTCCCTGCACCTCCCATCAGAATCCCCTAACTTAATAAGGAGAAAGAAGTGCATTATTAGTAAAGAGTGGAATGGCAGATCCCGAAACTGAGCCTGAAAGCACCCCCCACCCAAGGTCAGACATGTCAAATACTCACTGAAATCTAGGTGTGAGCAGTACCATCGCTGATTGGTATCTGTGAGGTTGTTTTGTTTTAGTAAGAGCGCTGCTAGAGTTGCTGTGCCGTCTAGCTGGTCAGTTTCTCTCTTTTTTCCCCCTGTTCAAGCCTTCCAGGGATACGAGAATGATCCTAGAACAGTTGGTCAACTGTATGGCAGTGTTGATGGTGTATCTCAAATGTTGGCGCCTCAAAGGACCAGAACCATTTCAAAACCTGTCAACGCTCTCTCTCTTGTGCTCCAGGATTCCCATGAGAGAAATACAAGGGCAACCAGATGAAGGCTTTGAGAGGAAGCAGGGGGTTCGTTGTCTCTGCCCAGCATGGGCAGCAGAGCTGAAGGCCTATTCAGTGCCCATGATTCAGAGTCAAAGAAGAGGCTTCCTTCCTTCCCCCCAAAAAGTCATAAAGGATGAGGAAACTAAAATCAGTTTCTAAAGTATAAGAAGTAGATTTCTAAAGCCCAAGGTTAGAAACCTTATGTGGTTTTTTAATAGGACACCTTTTTTTTTTTTTTTTTTTTTTTTTTTGTCTTTAGGACATTTTTGTGCAGTCTGCCATGATCTTAGATCATCTCTTGCATGATCCAGGCTGTTATAAGACTTGTTATAATGCTGCAGGTGCTGGCTCTACCGGCATATGTAAGAATAAAGTAGGACTGACTTCTCCACAAGCAGTTCCATGAGAGGATGCTAGAAATCTGTACTGTCCACCATTATTTTGCATGTTAAGTTTACTTTAAGTCCTGTATTTTTATTATGTGCTTTTAAAAGCTCAAATTACTTTCATTTTTCATTATTCCTTCCCCTTATTCTCTTTTCAAAATATCATATGAAGAATATACTTAATTTTTCTTATTGGAGTATAGTTGGCATAGGGATATACTTTGGACAATGAGACTCCTCCTGGTTATACCCCACATACACAGACGCACACACTTGCACACATGCTTCCAGATGTGGTTGGTAATATTCAGATCCCCAGGTAACTCATTCAGACAAAAGTAAAAAGAGAAATATTTAGGGGCCATCTGCTCTAACATATTAAGGTTTTTTTAGTATTGTCTGAACAAATTGACCATAAAACCCTGATTGGTTAGTGAGTATGGATTTAAATTGCCCGCCAGTAGAGGCCATTAAAGTATTTCCTTATTTCCAAGCAGCCTTTCCCTCTACATTTTCCAGCATCATTTGCTACATCAGTATCTTTTGTGGCCTCTACACTGGCTCTACCAGGGTGATCCCAGCTTCTTCTTTTTTTTTTTTTTTTTTTTTTTTTGCAGTGCTCTCATTTTCTTCCTGTACTCATCTTGCCTTCTGTTTAAAGCCTCCATCTTACTCCCAGTGATGCTGCTGATTTATTCTCAGTGTCTCTAGTCTCTAACTTCCTCTTTAGGCCCTTGTCCTGACCCAAGCAAAGTCTCTGGGCAGCCTTGAATACAGTAACTGTGTGTGGTTCAGGTCATTTTTCACTGGGTGGTCTTGGACATTTGCTTACCAAAATTTGAAATCATACTGTTGGATATGAGGAATAAGGGGATCAGGCTTTATCCTTTCCCCCCCCCCCAATATTTTGACTATGAAAGCACATTGTGCTCTATGTTAAAAAAAAAAAAAAATTATTTCCTCCTACTCTGCCCTTCAGTGGATGTATTTCTTAAATGGCTTTTGTAAATTTCCACATTCATTAAGTTGATGTAGCAGACCTCCAGCACATATTTTAGAGGGACACCTGGCAAATATTTTTATGATGATTTATTTTGGGCTTTCCAAACAATTTGAACTGTTCGATACAGGTCTGATGCTATAGCATTCAGGTTCCTTTATTTCTCCTAATTGCCTTGTAAAATGCTTTGTTACCGGTTTGATAGCCCACTCTTACCATGAGGGGTAAACAAGGTATGTGGGAATTTGTCCTGGTCTGAAGTTGTAGGGAAGTATGAGTGGCACCGGAAGGAAGAGGGGACTGCCTGCCTGCCTGTGTGGGCAGCATATCTTTAGGTGACTGTGGTTTTGAAGAATAGGAACGCGTGTGGGTCGTGGTTGACCCTTGGCCATTTAATGTTTATTGTGCTGAAAGTCATGGGTTGCTTATGACAGGTGCTACCGGTACAAGAGGAGAGGTTTAAAGGAAACGGGTCTATTCTGCCTTTCCTTCGTTGTGTGCATGGTGTGATTAGGTTTCCATCCCCATTGTGCATCCTGGCTGAGGAACTCTCTCAGTGGTATGCTTTGGGCTTCCGGAACTTTTTTTTTTTTTTTTTTTTTTTTTAAAGATTGCCTTCCTATCTGCCCACCAGTTCTAGGATCTTTAACCACCTCAAACCCAAGCAGTGTGAATGAGCCGAGACTTGTTTCAGACAAGAGGGAGGATGTTTGTTTGGAGGTCTTGAGGCAAACCCTCCCCCTTACAATGACCTTGGACCAAAGAACCTAAAAAACGCTCAAGCAGTAGGAGGGTGAGGGGAAATAGGAGTCTAAGCCTCTCGTCACCTTTATTTCTTTCATAAACTTTAATTGTAATATTGGAAGATACAGAAAACTATATAAGACCATGTTGGTAGGCTATAATTAACCCAGGTAATTTGGGAATAACATTTGGCTGTATTTGCTATATCCAGGTGCCCTAACTGAACAGCTTGGTTTTCCAGCAAAGAACATGCTGCTCTAAGCTTGCCCTCTCACTTGAGACAAACTCTACTTGCCAGAAACTCATTTGAGACACATAAATGCTTTTTCTGCATGCAGGGCTTCTGCAGCTCCCCCTTATAAGGCCAGTCTCTCTATTTGTCCATTTTTATTCTTAGGAACATCAGATCTGCATCTCTGAAGGCTTTGACTCTTAGGAAAGTAAGAACCTCTCAGCTGAGTCTGAGTGAATCTTTGGAGCCCAACAGAGTTACACTTAATTTTCAGCAGGGGGTAAAAAAAAATGTCTTGGACAAGCTCACATGTGGGATATTAAGAGAAATTCCGTAATGTGCTTCCATCTCTGCCTCATGCGTTCTTTGAGTAAGCCCTCGGTGGAGTCTGGTTCGAAGGGGTTGAGTTCAGACACGGTGTCTCACTGTCCTTCTAGGAAAAAGAACCATGAGCAACCAGAACTGTATCAATGGACTCTATTTTCTGTTTTTCAGTGTCTTGTTTTGAAGAATTGGGGTGGGGAAATGGTAGATGAGATTGAAAGTAAAGGAGAGAATCAGTTCTGGAACTGGGGCACTTTGCTTTGGGTACAAGCCTCTGTCCTGAATATGCAGAAACACCTGCCTCACACACGTGAGTAGATTTGCTTTCCTCTCATCCATTGAACTCCATGCCCTTCTCCCTGGCACGGAGGGCTTCTACCCACCCTGCACCCGACCAGAGTCTCCCAGATGGGAATGGGCACCCCAAAAGAGGTGGTGAATGAGAATCCCCATCCCAAGAAGTGATGGGAGAAGAGAGGTGTCCAGACACATACCTTTTCTCTTTTGCCACACCTCAAAAACCCAGGAAAATCTTTGAAGTGATGTCTTTTTTGTTAAGGTGGAAGAAGAAATCTTTGCCCCACAAAGTTCCGCTTGTCACTGTTGCTAACTACTTACTTTCACTAATTCAAATCTGTGTCTCACTGCTGCTCACACACATGTGTTTCTTACCTTAGCCTAACCCTTCTTAGCCCCTGAAGTCATTATTTCTGTCTTCTTCTCTACCTCCCTCCCTTCCTTTTTCTCTTATGGCACTAGTGAACGACAACCGAAAGTCTTAGAAAATCCTAACTTGATAAAGGAATCTCTAACTGGCATGGTTTGATTAATTACTTTACCTCCCACCCGCCTCGCCCCCAAAGACTTGAATGATTTTCTTTCCTAGTGCTAGATCTGTAAAAAGTGAAACCTGTGCTGCTGCTTTTCTGGGTTTACATGTTTTTTCCTGCCCTTAAGAATAATTTCTTACCTGTGCTTCTCTGATGACTGTTACTTTCTAATAAGTGCAGGAATGAGGTGAGCCTGAGATTTCTTCTCTTACTCCCCTCCTCACCCTACCCCCAAACTCCATGCTAACCTCTACCACACATGACCCGTGGGGCGGGGCTCAGCAGAAGCTACATGGTTAGTGTTTTTGCACTGTGCCTCTGCTCTCTCTCGGAGCTGGCCCCTGAGGATCTGTGACTGCCCAGTCCGAAGGTTAGAAGGGTTACAGTTCTTCCATTGGTCGGTCCAGGGGAGAAAGGACTTCTGCATTTTGCCTTTCTCCATTCCTGTTTAATGACTCAACCTTCAGCTGCCTCCCACCCTGGCTGCCTCCTCTTTCCTACTAGGAATTGTTTGCAGGTAACCTGCCTCAGGCGGTTTCTGGCTGCTCTCCTCAGCCTTGCCCACCTGAGAGCACAGACCTGTGCAGAGGGCAGACAGCTGGGAGGACCACCCCCACCTGTCTGCCTGAGGACAGAGCTGGGTGGGCAAATGGTGCTGCAGGAGAAATTTTTACCTTCAAACCAGGCTGTTCCATCCCTGAGCTAACCCCCTTGAACCCCTCTCCCCCTGAGGGGACTGAAGGCAGAGGATGGTTGACTGGCAGGGCCTGATTCCAAACCTTGCTGTGGCCTAAGCCTCCTGAAGCCTCTCGGCCTCCCCCCCCCCCCCCCCCCGGCCCCAGTACTTCAGCCTGGGGAGCTGCCGCTTCCCTGT